TATATTGGATAATCCAAAGCTATGTTGATCATTATAACATTAAATTTTGAATAAAAAATGATAAGACAATCTTATTCAAATGTCGTAATAATACCTCTGACCAAGGAAAAATTATTTATATAGTTTTCATAAAAGTTGACGATACAAATACTAATGAGGAAAGGAATTCCGCATTTCCTTTTCCCAAGTCCTTTTCCTCTCCTTCCCTTCCCTTCTTCTCTTTTCAGAAAGCGAGTAATGGCGCTATAACCATATGCCATATAGGGCTAGGACAAGAGTTAGTGCTCAGGTCCCAACCGCTAGAAGAAAATGGTAGCGAGCAAGGGCGCTATAACCTAGGCGAATACAGCATTCCCTCCGTATAGGTTACGTCCGCACACCGCTCTCTGTTGTCCTTCGACTGAGGTCGGCTGGATCGATTGAGGGATGGCAGTGGGTTGGCGGTGCCGTATACGCTTGTACGGAGGGAGGACTGTACGCTCGAACACAAGGGGTAAATACCTGTGTTCCATCCCAGGAGATCGGACAACCAAGGAGTGTACATTAACTTTCTTAGCTCTGTCACTCCCAACGATTTATATAGCCTATTTTCAAATCCTGCATACGGAGCGGTTGGTACGGTATGTCCCCGCTCTTTGATTACCTGTGGATTAAATGTTAACCACTGTCTATACTTATTAAGTAGACATGGTAAACATTCACTTCCACAAAAATTAACTAAACGCTACACAGTAGGCCTGGCCGCTTTATTGTTTGTTTCACATCCTTGATGTGCAGCAGGCATTAATAATGACAAGAAAAATGATAGATGTATCATTTTCCAGGATTCTTTCAAGTACTGGCTGTGTATGTGTAGACTAGACTAGACTAGACTAAACATTAAAAAATATCCTACACACTTACAAATATCTAATTTTACACGTGACGGAGTCCGTCTTTGAAATAAAAGATGAGTCGTGACAAACATGTCATGTAATATTAAGTGCGCCGAAGCTGCATAGTTTGTTGCTCGACGAAAAATACGTTTGATTGAGCTACATTTTGCGTCTGTTATGACTCAAATTTATGTCAAAATTGACGCTCGTATATGTCACTCGCAGAGCACCTAAATTTACATGTTGCTTTCTAGGTGTGTATAAATTAATAAATAAAAATTGATAAAGTGTTCATTTTAGCAGATTTGTAGATGACATTCCAATCGATTGGCTTGCTTTGAATTAATGGCCAATTTCTATTGAGAAAGTTATAAGTGGTCAAAACTTGACCACATTTCGTAACGCGGTTGATTTTGGTTTTTGGAAATTGCACTTCCAATATGTTGCCGAAAGACGTAATCCTCCGTCAACATAGCGGCTGCAGTAAATCATTATATCAGTGATTTTGTCAAATTATCTTAACAAAAATAGTTGAAATTCTTATTACAGATTACCAAACGTATCCCATGGCAATTTAATGCTCACTGCGTTTTTATGACCATTTCTTCGACTATATTTTATACTTTATTGCAATACCTTTCGTGGACCTTTCATTGCATGGTAATGTTTGTTTGCTTTGCACTATTGGTAGTCGGTTTGACAGTTCAATAGGTAGACTTGGCTGTGAAATTCACAAACGTCAGAGAAGTCTATACACCAACTCTAGATTTGACAATCCAATGTGTGAGGTTGAAGGACTGATGGCTCCTTCCCCCGCTCACAAAGGTTATAAGTTTCGGGAAGCCTTCTTAAGACGGCCTACCAATAAGTACCAATAAAAGTTTAGAGAAGCTACCGATATTAAAAAAAAATCTGGTAACTTGCATGCGGACGGTTGTGAATACAAGTCATGAAGGATTGAGCTGTTGACTAGAAATTTATTTTCAAGCGTGTAGAGGGCTAGCTGTTGAATGAAGCAATTTGGGTTTTCACTATAACCGAATTGATTGTCTACGTGGCAGTGGCAGTATTACACTAGTTCGGAGCCTGGAAGGTTTGCCATAGCCAGGCATGGAAAATCATTTGCATTCATTGCGTGCATTCATTTACATTCATTTGTCCCTAACTTTTTTCAACAACAGAATTCCGCAAAATAATGTATGAAATTTTTGTAGGCTTTGTTATTAACTACAACTTCTGTTAACAACTTAAATCCGTATCTCTTATGCATGACAAACCAGAGCGAACAGAAGCCACTACTGTTTTTCAGTGAATGTATTTTACATTCACTGAAAAACAGTAACAAGTTCTGCCTGCTCTAGTTCGTGATGCATAAGAGATACAGATTTGAGTTGTCGGCAAAAGTTGTAGCTAATAACAAAACCTACAAAAGCTCTATACATCATTTTGTGGAATACTGTTGCTGAAAAAATTAGAGGCAAATGAATGTAAATGAATGCATGAAATGAATGTAAATGATTTTCCATGCCTGGCCATAGCAGCAAATGTTCGTTGATAGGAAACTCCTCCATACGACAGAGACGTTTATATTCCTCCTTGAATACTTCATAGCACAAGCGCTGGGCTTCACCTGAGCAAAATGGTAACGCTCTCTGGTAGATTCACTGTGTATTCATCATCTGAATTGAAACTAGAAGGAACTGCGAAGTGTTGTTCTTCGGCTCGTCAGAATCTAATTTCTCTACTTCTCGGAATTGTTCAACTGCGTGTCAGGAAAACAAACAAGTGGTGATTGAAGTTGCGAGAAGACGTATCCGAAACAATCCTCTGGCACGGCCATTGATTCTTGAAGCTGCCGTCAGTGATAGCGGTGGCGTTGATGTTGGAATGATTTTAAGCTTCGGCCATACGTTACCATCATCATGGCTTATAGTACGCTCAGACTACAGAGTTATAACATGTTATAGCGCTATCTTGATGGTGGTTTCTGTGTTGCAATTAGTTGACAACCGTTATAACATGTTATAACTCTCCAGTCTGGACAGCGTTTTAGCCATGAGTTTCACCCTTCCGAGCATGACCAAGCGATAGGATGGTTATTTATTCTTGAAGCCACCGTGAACTCACTTTCATGCACTTCTTTCTAATAATTGCGTAGAGCGATAGAAACTCAACTGAAAAACACCAAGAGAACAATTGAAAACACTAAACACTTGATAAACTTTCATCAATACCAGAACGTTACCATGGCCGTTCAAACAAACGTATAAACGGAGCTGAAACTCGTAATGTTTACATCAGCTGTAGATAACTGACGTATAATCGAACCAAAGAGCCAAAAACACCGGCTTCAAGCAAAGTGTCCTTGGATGCCTTTTGCGCCACCGGAGTGATCCGAAACTGGTCTTTTGGAGCGGTCGTAGTTGATCATCGAACGGTATCTGCTCGGGCAGCAGAATGAACGGAAAATGCTCAGCGCCGATGATCAAATCAAACCAGGACTAAGCTAGAACTGTAGATCGGCTAGTGGTAAATATTTTGGTGTTTTAAAAGGACCTATGTCAACCGTCTTTGTTGGAAGATTTAGCGTAAGATTTGGTAGCACCAGGCAGTCCAGCGGGAATGTTCGTGAACCAAATCATGAACTGTGTATCGTTCGTTGACACCAGCTTGACCGATGCCACTCACAGGCATGTTAAGTTAAGTTTTCTTTATTAAGGAGGCTTTCAGTCTGGGGCTGGTTTACCTCCAGGACTAACAGGCATGTTGACCATTGTTCGGTTGATTGATAAACGTTGGTACAGTGACTCGGATATGAAGCTTGATTGCAAGCCACTATCCAAAAGAACACGAGCAACATAACAATTTCCTCGATTGTCGTGGACATTCACTAGAGCAGTAGACAAGATTACTGTGCATTTACCAACGTTGATTGGTGTGACGGATTGACTGGAGGTAGAAGGAGGTATGACTGTAACCCGACGAAGGCACATGGGGTGCAACTTCCGACGGCGGCAGAACGAAAACGAACGATCGATCGAAGCGACAGCGGAGTCGTTATGAAGCGAAACCGAAGGAGAATGCAAAAGTTTGGGATTTGATGCAAGCAGTTGTTGCAGCATTGGGCTTGCAGCTTCAGTGGTTTGGGTGTGTGGTGGAGCTTCAGTCGCAATCATGGATATAGACGATGGGAGATGAAGCAACGTGTGGTGCTTCTTTTGACAGTACAATTGATGCATAGGTTCTGTTTCTTAACGAAATCTAAACGTTAATGTGGTGTTTGGTCATGAAATATGCTCATGTTCAATGTGATCCAATATAATTTGTAAAAGAGGAAGTGCACCAGGTTTAGTACTGCTTTAATTTGCGCCAAGCCAAAACTGGTACTATTGGCTATTAAGGATTGTACCATAACTAATCCATATACCATAGTTGGAACACTTATCCTATAAATGTTTGGAAATTTTCCATGATTCTAGACCAATACATTTTTAATACTACTCACTTTGAAAAAATCATCTGAATTTAGGTGCTCTTAGAACACTTAGAAATAACAAATTTTACACGTGACGGAACTCATCTTTGACATAATAGATGAAACATAAACAAGCATGTCATGTAAAATTAAGTGCTCCGAGACTGAAAAGTGCTTTGCTCAACGAAAAGTACGCTTGACTGAGCTATATTTCGCGTCTGTTATGACTCAAATGTATGTCAACATTGACGCTCGTATATGTCACTCTCAGAGCACCTAAATTCAGATGATTTTTTCTAAGTGTGCAGATAAAAATATTTTGTAATTATCAACTACAAACTGGAGTAGGTTTTTAAATACGAAATTACATTTCATAAGTAATTCAATTAATGAAATTGACCCGTTCATGTAAAATGATAACGGTATTAGTTGAAAACTCAATTAATATCAATTGAAATTAACACTGTCTGGGAAAAACACAGATACATGTAAAACTCAATTCAAATTAGCTAATTATTAAATACTTTCACGTAAAATCAAAGACAGAAAATACATAAATGTGCCAAATGTAAATTGAAAAAAAGTTTTGCTGTGTGCAGGATTTTCAGGTACTCACAATTTAATAATAAGGAATAATTTCAATTTTCCAGGTCGAAGACAACCTTCCCGCATCGCAGCAGCGAACATTCAACTCTGAACTTCTCCCGACGGCTCCCGGTTCGCCCAAAGCCCTAAACATCACCAACAGCAACGTAACGCTGGCTTGGTCCCGCAATGCACCGCTGGACAAATCCCGTTCCCTCACCTACACCATAGAACAATTTAGCCCGGACGGCAACTCCCAAGACAACCCGGCCGAAAGTGGTTGGCAAATCTCCCTGCGCCAGCTGGCTGGCAACACTGCCACCGTCACCGGCCTCCGTCCGGAAACGTCCTACATTTTTGTCGTTCGAGCGGAAAATGCGTACGGGTTTTCGGCCCCCTCGTCCGTCTCGGTGCCAATCCGAACGCTTTCGTCGGACGACCGCGTCACCGTGCCGGAGGAGCTGGAAAGCGCACGGAACGTTCTCAGCGGGAAGGTAGGTGTCATCATCATTAATGTTATCTTTTTCGACGTTCGTTGATGTCCTTTGGGGTGGAGGGAGGTGTGTACTAGATGGACATGGCTCACTTGTTGTGATTTATTAGTTGACCTATATTACGACGATGACGGGTTTCGAGCGGACGCATATGTGCGATGAAGTTTGAGATGGATCTATTCCGAATGTGCAGGGGTGGAACTAATTTCACAGAATGATAAATGCGATGTGGCTTTCTACAGATGGCTCATATGTGCGTCGTATATGTAGCATGATGGAAGCAGTCTTTCGGGGACCGGATTGACTGACAGATGACAGTCATTTTGTGGTTTTTCCATTTAACGGCCACATCCTTGTGATGAGTTGCCAGGGTTGATGAAATTGGATTTTCTTTAAGGACAACTCAAGGATGGGAGCATCTGATTAAATGAATTTGAAATTGATATCGATGATAGTTTTATGATAACTAAACTGGTTTACAACATCCGATTATTCTCTTGCTCAGATTCTCGAACTGATCGACATCATCCCGCTGTCGTCCACATCGGTTCGGCTGGAGTGGCTCCTGCATGTGAGCAGTTCGGAGCAGTACGTCGAAGGGTTCTACGTACGCTACCGGGAGCTAGACTCGAAAACCCAGCGCTACTCGATGCTATCAATTCCGAACAACGAAATCGAGCAGCACATTATCACCAATCTGTCCAAATTTACCAAGTACGAATTCTTCCTAACGCCGTACTTCAAAAACCTAGAAGGTCAACCGAGTAATGCCCGAATTGTACAAACGATGGAAGATCTGCCGTCGGCTGCGCCTGGCAACATACAAACCGGTATGCTAAACCTGACCGCTGGGTGGGTTCGATGGAGTCCACCAGCGAAGGATCAATTGAATGGTGTCCTGCAGGGCTACAAGATCCAAGTCAAGGTGGGGAATATATCGAAGCTATTGGCCCAGATGACACTGAATGCGAGTACGACATCGGTGATGCTGAACAACCTGACAACAGGATCGAGCTACAGCATTCGGGTAGGGGCGTTCAACCGAGTTGGCCTTGGACCATACTCGAAACCGGTGCATCTGGTGATGGACCCATCGTTTGTGATCGTTCCTCAAGGAGTTCACAATAGCTACAATGAGTACGAAAATTTTCGCCATCATAACTTTCTGCACGAGACGTGGTTTATGATCTTCGTGGTGCTGTCGTTGTTCGTAATCCTGCTGTTTACGATCATCGGTGGGGTGATCTTTTTCAAGCGTCGACAAGGTTTGGGTAAACCAGTTGTGACGGTTCCGATCGGAGCGAGACGGGATTTGCCGAACCTAAGCGTTTCGCGGAAGGACAATGGGATTTGGATCGACCGCGGTTGGAGAACCTGCGATACCGATAAGGACTCGGGTTTAAGTTCGATTAAACTGTTGGAAGGGAATCAGATCTATCCGAATCAAGCGATGTCCGATGGTGGTACGGATTACGCCGAGGTAGACCCAAGAGGAGTTACGTCGTTTTACAACTGTCGAAAGGTAAGATCGGTGGGTGTTGGATGGTATTGGGTGACCAAGTAACATGATCATTTGCTTCCACAGTCTCCGGAGAGTCCAACTCCTTATGCTACTACCATGCTCATCAACGGGATTCCTCACAGCGAGAACGGTGACCTGAGCTATCAGGGTCACGATACCTTCTCGTCGACGTCTTCCAGTTTCCGGTCGTTCTACGGATATCCAAGGCCACCGAATGGGAATCAAGGTAACTGAAGATCTTCTTTTATTTTTGCAACAGCTTCTGAGTCCTACATTTTCAACAGTCCCACCCAATTGGGTTGACTACCTGCCGCCACCACCGGAGCATCCACCACCGGCTCCGCAGCCATTGGACATCAACCATCTGAATCACGTGTATCCGTCGGAGCTGGTCGGTACCATGTCCAGTTCCCAAGCTAGTTCCTACTGTTCGCGACGTACCAGTGGCTACAAGTGAGACCTCGCCACCGCTCGCATCAACAATCACTACCTGATCAGTCCAACGGATGCCTTCCCGCCGATCCATTTCTACTAGCGATCGCCAAAGGCGGGGGGCGTCCGGTAGAGACAAGATGTTAACAACAATCACTTTCGTGGATTTAAATTGCATGCAGTAGAGGGAGGGGAACGGCCTGCTGTACGACGATCACTTTGAAGTTCCCCCCCAATAAGTTCCGCGAAAGAAAGTTAATACCACGACGATTACGGGCTGGAAGCAATTGAGCCCTTTTGGTGAGGCGATCTTCGATGAAGATTTTCGAACGAGAATCTAAAGCTCTTTGTATCTCAACAGGTTGCCAGATAGCACATTCTCCGAATTGGACATTCCCGCTGCTGATGGGAACGATTCTTGCGATGAAAACGTGCTGCTGTAGCAGGAAGATCTCATTCACACCAATCAATGGGAGCTAGGTCCTCCCGAATGGTGAGTCTTCGCCCATCAAAGTGCCATTGCATCAATCCTTTAAAATTAAACTGACGTAAATCGGGCCACTACTATTTACAAAATGCTTCCAAAGCTGTAGATAACAAAAAACCGAACTATTCGACTAAATAGATACAGATGAGTAGCAGATATATTTATTTGACAGACAGACTTTACATAAATGCAGAAGCCTAATTCCAAGAGCCAATAAATAGATTTCAGTAAAAAAAAAAATCGACGGTGATGGAAATTATTTTGATGACAGTTCCTTTGGAAAATATCTCGCAGTCCAGTCGCAAAAGGGAATCGAGCATTGGGAAAATAAGGTCCAAAGGGAAGGTGCCGACAATTTATTGAACATAGACAAGGTGAGTGCTTCCCCAATAAAAATTGTATGGTTAATTTGCTTAACGACGTGTTCTGCGTATCATCCAAACCATTTGTGGAATAGTTCAATTATTTGGGTTATCGTTCGGTTATGGTTGTTTTTTATTAGGGTTTATTTCAGTCTTTTGGATGTTTAGTTTTGTTTAGTTCTGGATCAACAATAGAAAAGGGCCCCTCAGAATTTGTAAACAAACCGTTCCAAAGCCCTTTACTCACGAAACGAAAGCCACCCACGCAAACCAACACCATCATCAGATAGGAGAAACTTCTACCTACATGATGATGGTGTTGGTTTGTGTGAGCGGCCTTCGATTTATGAGGAATGGGCTTTGGAACGGTTTGTTTACAAATGCTAATGGGCCCTTTTCTATTTTTGATCCAGAGTTTAGAACAAAGTTAACGGAGCTGCATTGTCGGACCAACGAAGGGAACTTCGTTTAACGACTCTACACTGTACCAAAACATCATCATCTGTTCGAATGAAACCTCAGACCATTCAAATCGAAACATCGAAATCGCTGCAACCGGATGACGGTTGTTCTGTAATCAGATGATGCGGTGTCAACTGGGTTGCATAATGCTCTCCGTAGAATGATTGTCATCCGAAATTGAAATGCATTTGGTATTGGTTCAGCCCCATAACGCAAATCATCCAAAACAAAGCTGTAAATATTTCTATCGACCGTCATTCGCTGATCTGAGCTGATAAACGAGGTTGAAACATAGAGGTAACTCTAAGACCAGAAGGTTCCGGAGAAACGTGCTCAACTTTTTGGCTCAGCTCCGGTACTGTCTTCGGTTCCGAGCTGATCGATGCACCCCACGAAACATAGGAAAATCCACGAACCCATCATTTTATTTGTCAAAATTGCATAGTGAATCAAAACAAACATAGTGTAGTACTAGAATTCCACCTAGAATGGGGTACGTTGATCGATTCGCTTGGGACCAATAGGCTACTCAAGTAGTGAGCCAATTTTAAATCGTTAGTTTCCACCGGTTGGTTGAAACATAGTCATCGCTATCAGAGGTGTTAAGAACATAGAGGTAAGAGGAGCATAGTGAACAGGTGGGGCAAAATGAGCAAACCTCTAATTGTTCGAAACAAATTAATTGTTAGTAGGCTCAATATCACCATTGCACAGTTTTTGCCGTTTTCGTGCGCTTTTTTAATAGCTTCTCAAATATTGATTTTAGGGGTGTAGTTTGTTTGAAGATGTTTTTGCATATGTTAATCCGCTTCTTTTGATGTAGACGGTTTGGTGATTAATCTACCTAAAAGTGAGATCAAAAAAATATTTTCTTATCTGATTCAGATAGAGACTTAACGTCTGGAATAAAGTTGTGGCAAATGTTATTTTAAGCAACTTTGCTGAACATCTAAAATATTTGGCTCTTATAAATTGCGAGATAAGTATCATTTATCGTAAAAGGCCCTTTTAAATCATGTTTTTTAGTATAACTGATTTTCTAGGCATCCTACAATATTGGTTTCTTCTACAACTATATTTTGCATGTTTAATCACATGCTTTTGCTCAACATTGTAACTAATTATCTCTTGAAACAAAATAGTTATTCTTGAATAATCGATATTTTTAGGGGTATTTGCTCCTTAAATAACTATTTCCGGCGCAAATTGGCGCAAAATTGGCGCAAGGATTCTAAGTCTATACTTATTTTACTTCCGAAAAATTATAAAAACATGTGGCAGCACGCGATCTTTTAAGTGTTTTTTAATAACTAAAAAACCCCTGCAAATGTCTAATTTTTGAATACATATTTTAATTTTAGGAGATATCATGTTACAATGTAAATCAAAAAATATGTATTTTTGTACGGCAAACAACTTGGTAGAATATGTTAAATATATTTAGTATCTAAGAAAAAAGTTACACTTAATATAATTATTTGAAGGAGTATTAAATTTAACTTTATTTTGAGTAAACAAATTTATGCGTTTTATTGATAGTAAGCTGTCAAATTCTATAAGAGTAGGAACGGAAGAGGTGAACTGCTGCAAACTGTTAAAAAATGGCGGAATCATCAACTTCAGGTATGCGTATGTGATTATTTCAAGAACCGGAATGCAAAGAAGTGATTTCCTTTGTTAAATTTATATGCTAATAATAATGTTTTGGTTGCCTCTTGTTCTTTACCATAGAATTTGATAAACTTGGTCTCTTCTCGCTTTGAATTGAAGGGCATGCCAACGGTGAAATTTCATAACGTTCACAAGCACGTTATCGAAGCATACGCAATCAATTCCGATGTCTCTGGTTGTTCCTTCTAAAATAAATAAAAAAAAACATGCTGTAAATCTTTGTATCTACCTAAAAAATAAAAATGGAATAAACATGGCCGCTCAAAGCAGAGGGGCTTAGGACGTTGCTCCGAATACTTAAAAAAAAAACTTTCAAATGTTTTATCAGCTCCGAAAGATGTAAATATCGGTCGAAGAGCAGTTCCTTTCGAAGATTGCAATGCAACGAAAAGGAAATAATCAGCTTGTATTAGAAATCGCTACCAACCGAATCAGCTGGCATTTGCAACGCAAATAAAGCTTCGATAGGCAAAGCAAAAGGATGCGACAAAAATTATTAAAGAAGCTACTCAAACAACACCTTCGCAAGCAACCCGAATCAGCGATTCTTGGAAAAAATCAGAGAGTATACTCCTTCAAATCATTGTTTTAAGTATAACTTTTTTTTTCCAAAATTAGACAAATGCAGGAGTTTTTAGTTATTAAAAAACACCTGAAAGATCGCGAGCTACATGTTTTATAACTTTTCGGCAGTAAAATAAGTATAGATTCAGAATCCTTCCTAGAATTTTGCGCCAATTTGCGCCGGAAATAGTTATTTGAGGAGCAAATACCCCTAAAAATATCGAATATTTAAAAATAACTTTTTTGTTTCAAGAGATAATTAGTTACAATGTTCAATAATATAGGTGTAGAAGACTACTAAAAAACATGATTTAGAGGGGCCTTTCACGATAAATGATACTTATCTCTCAATTTATAAGACCAAGAAATTTTAGGCATTCAGCAAAGTTGCTTAAAATAACATTTGCCACAACTTTATTGAAGACGTTAAGTCTCTATCTGAATCAGATAAGAAAATATTTTTTTGATCTCACTTTTAGGTAGATTAATCACCAATACGTCTACATCAAAAGAAGCGGATTAACATATGCAAAAACATCTTCAAACAAACTACATCCCTAAAAGCAATGTTTGAGAAACTATTAAAAAAGCGCACGAAAACGGCAAAAAGCAACACTGTGCATTGCAATGATTAATGACCTATTAATTTGTTTCGATCCATTAGAAATCGAAGGCGAGAGAACACGAAGCTCACTACACGTAAGAAAAAAGTACCCAACGGCCAGTTCACTTTTACCTACTTTTGACCAGTTTGTCTCCTTTTCTCCTTCTAATGTTGTCAAAAACTGAGGAGCAAAACCACCCAACAGGGGTAGTAGAGTGTGGGAACCCAACGTTGAGTATAATCATATTTACCTACTGTTGGGTACAACTAACTTACTTTTGGATTGAAAGCTAGTGGAAAATTCCATACGAATTGCATACAAGTAAATGAAAATTACTTTGACCCGCTTTACCTACTTTTGGGTTCCTGCACTATAGTGCCGAGATGAGTGAAAAGAACTTATTTTTGGGTACTTTTTCTAACCGTGTACGTCCCACCTGTTCACTATGCCCCTCCTTCCCCTACACTGAAACAAATAGGCATGTATGGTTTATGGGATCCATCTTATAACATAGCAATGTACATATTTGGGACATTGAATGCACATTTATAGAAGATTTTTCTCACACAAACTTTTACACTTTTCTGAAATTTCTAGCTCCAAAATCATGAACAGTTTATGAAGACCGGGATCTTGAAATTTGTACCCAATTGAAGTCTGTTAATCATGGATAGTTAATTTCTTTGGATGGAATTTCTCAATGTTTGAATTAATTAAATTGATTCTTGTTAATTCAAACATTGGATATATGTGTCAAGGATTTGCTTAGGATCATTCCAAAAAGCGTTCAGAAACAATTTTACTTTCAGGACTTCCCTCAATAATTGTATAACTATGTCCGCTATTCTCCAGGAAAAAAAATTCCATAACAGTCTCAGAATTCTATGCTGAACACTTTTGGAATTCGTTCCAGCATCTTGAAATTATCTCTTAATTTATCTGCACCATCATAATAATTCTCGTATGAATTTGATTAATTTCTCTCGACAATGTTGTTTGGAATTCGCTTTGTATATACCTCGAACATCCCTTGGTATGTCATTTAGAATTAAGAAATGCATTCTCCCAATTCTTGGCAATTTGCTTGAAACTGTCTTCAAACTAACATAACGTTCTGCAAATAATATTATAAGCTATGTTATGAATTAGATTTTCATGGAATGAATAACCATATTTCCTTGTAGCTCTCCTCAACATTTCTCTTTGATTGATCAGCATTTAGAAGATTTTTAGCTGTACGCGATCATAACACCACCCAGGCAGTTGTTATCCAGGCAGCTAGTTTGACAACTTTAGCCGAATTTGGTCGGATTGTTTTTTTTTTGTGAAATAAGGAGTTCGGTGGCCTTGCGGTGACCAGTTTTGCTTGCTTAGCAGAAAATCATGGGCTCA